GTTTTAAATAAATAGGATAGTTACATGTTCCAATAATAAATTAAAACTTGAAAACGATAAATAAAATACGTAGATAATATGTAATAAAATGAAATTTGTATTTACTGGTCGCACACCGTCGACTTCGACCAGATCCACCATACGTGTACTGCTTCCATGCAGTTTGCAATAAGTTCTTTTTTTAATTTCAATTGTTGATACTACAACTTTCCGTTTAGCTTCTGTTGCTTCTACGCAGTCCTCGGATGCCGTGGTTAATAAGTAAAGGTTACATTGGCTGAACGGAAAGTTTGTGTGCAGTTTTAACAACTGTCGTTAATTAACATAGTTGTGTGATTTAATTGTAACAGTCGTAAAATTTAACATATTATTGCTAATTAGAGATTGTATTCTTAGTTTAGAAGCTCATTTTAAACTTTTTACTTTGCATTTTGTTTGAATGAAATCGAGTTGAAATGTCTTCAGATAAAAACCATATCCGGTACATGGGCGTAGCGAGGGGGGAGCCTGGGTGGGCACGGCCCCTCCCAGGGTACCTGGTGCCCCCCCCCAGGAAATCACAGCCGAAAAAGTGTTGAGTCGATTTGTAAACACCTAAAGCTAAAATAAAAGTTTTGAATACTAAAAAAAAAAGGTGAACGGCTTGCTGGTGCCCAATAATGAACAATAATTTGAAATAATTCAATTTTGTGTCAGGTTGGCCTCCACTAGGCCCCCCCAGAACAAAACTTTGGCTACGCCCATGATCCGGTATGCTATTCTTTATGAATTTCAGAAAGGATATAACGCCGTACGAACAGTAAAAAAGTTCGTAATGTGTATGGAGAAAATACTAAGCTTCAAGTATGCAAATATGGTCTAACAGTTCCGTTCGGAAAAGTTTGAACTAAAGGATAAATCAATGTAAGGGGCATTCAAAAGATGTCGACAAAGAAAAATTGCAGAAAGAAAATTTTAAAAATCGACGAAAAACCCATATACTGAGTATATATATAACCAAACGTACCAAAAAAAAAAACCGAAAAAAGCACTGAAAACATACGAGCTTAACGCGAGAGCGTGATATGACTTGCGTTTATGGTTCAAGAGCATTTTTTTCAGTGCATGCACAGTTCGAACTCTGAAGCATCGTTCGAAATCTGAAGCAAATTTTTGTCGAATTTAGTGTTCGAAGTACGAGATACCACTATATTTGTGCAGTAGGGAAAAAAAAACTTAGAATAAGGTCTGATTTGTTTATTGGGAATTTCGTTCAGAAAAGGTCCACGTAGCCACGATAAGTTGCCAATATTTATTTATTACTAGCTGTATCCGGCCACGCGTTGCTGTGGCTCAAAATGTAGGTTATAAATGTATAACACTCCCCGCGGGGGAATTTCGAAAAATCCCTTCTTAGTGTACATTCTCTTGACGTACCCTATTTTTTTTTAAACTCTTTCCGCCCTGTGGGCACTAAGAGGGTCTCTTTTTGCAAGCCCACTATGGATTCGGCCAGGCCCACAATGGGGCTGCCGGGTGGTGAGAGACGGGGCCCGACATATCCGAACGGACCACCCGAAAAAATTCCTGGGGATTTTTCGGCCCTTTCGGATTTGAATCCGGGTCTCCCAGAGCGGTAGGCTGTCACCTTGACCGCTCGGTCATCCGGCCATAACGTACCCTATTCAAACGCAATCAAAAATGCAAAAAACCGCATCTAAAATAGAATAATAAAAGATCAATTCACGGTAAGCCTTAATTTTATGCCTTTCCCCGCGAGTGAATTTCGACATCTATATAATATAAAAACACGCGCGTATTCGAATGCAATGTTGTGTCAGAATTTCAAAGCAATCGGTTAAGAGCTTTCGGAGATTTAAGATTTTGAACAAACGAACATTTACATTTTTATTTATATAGATCAGTGATTCTCAAACTTTTTCGATCCACCGCCCCCTTTGTTCCATAAAGTTATACCCAACGCCCCCTAACCCATTTTCTCTTGTGTGAGAAAAAGATTGGAAATATTCTTAGGAAAACTTTTCTATGAATCTCACACTTTGTGCCCTTACTGTACATTGTTCTCATCATCTGGATACCATTAAACGCAATGTTTCCTCTTATCAGCCCCAATTTTGCTTATGGTCACCGTTCAATACCCTGCCTCTATCATAGATCTATTCATCGCGCCAGAAGGGGGCGTTATTGCTTACTTTGAGAAACGTTGAGCTAAAATAAAAGTCAATATTCAGATAAATCAAATTCAGATAAAATAAAGTCAATATAGTTAGAAATATTCAAGTTGTGACCTTCAATAAAAAATAAAAAATATATAAAATGTCAACATTTTATATATATTCCGTCGAATTTTTATATATAGAATTTGTCTGCCGTCGCCCCTCTATATTTCCTTAACGCCCCCAATTCTCTTTGAGCCTTCTACTGCCCCCTGAAAGCCTCCAGCGCCCACAAGGGGGCGTTATCGCCCACTTTGAGAAACGCTGATATAGATGAATTAAAGCATAAAATATTAATGACTTTATTTGTAATATTTTAAGCTTATGGATTATTTTACTGATTTCAGTTCTGTCTGTTATAAAGGAATGAGATGTAATTCGCAATGGAACAAAACAATACGAATGAAAAAATAAATTTTAATTCAAACTCACTGTAGAAAATCAAGAATATGAAGTTAATACACGAAAGCTGATTCATAACGACAAATATTGATATTATTATATTGTTGTGTTGTTTGTTGTTGGAATTATTAATAAAACAAACAAATTCATACCGAAAGAATACAAAGCCATAATAGAAATAATTTGCATATGCTTTGCTTACAGAAAAACAGATTGAAGTATTTAGAGAATTTTTTTTTATTCGATAAAGTTGGAAATGGAGTTATCACAAATAAAAACTTCTGTTATTGTGGCCAAAACCTTTCAGGACAGCTATATTTTACAAACTCTGGAAAAAATGAAATAGATTTCTATTATATCTTGAATTGATGTTGAAACAAATGAAAGAAGTTGTCAGTAAACAAGATATACGAGAGACTTAGAATTTTCTATAACATCACACTGGTTAAATTAACGCTGCTGAACTTCGTCGCGGTCTACGAATTTAACTTAAGAGGAAATAGGAGAATTGCTTCGGGTTGTAGAGATTGACATTCAGAAAAATTAAATATCAAAATTTTGTAACATCTCTTCTAAACTGACTAAAGAAATTGTTAGGTCCCAGACGGAATTCGAACTTTAAGCCGAATCTTGATAGTCTGGCGAGCTGTTAGAGCTCTCACTTTTCAGAAACGAACAAAGAAAGCTTAAAGGTCGTGTCTAAACAAACAAGTTTTTTTTTTGTTTTGATAAAACGTAAAACAAAAGATGAAATGAGGAGAATAGCAAAGTCAAGGGAAATGGAGTTAGAACGGAGTCGGGTTTACTCGCGAAGTTGACCCTCGAATGGTTTCGAATTGTCACCAGGTGAGGAGGGGAGGCCAGTCAACGAGCGGAATCTGGGATAAAAGTATAAAAACGCGAGATTCAAGGACGCGACGTTTTTTGTTCGGAGTTCATCAATCCTGTAAATTGGTGCGTCACGGAAAGATCTTCGGAAGGTTTCCGTCATCCTGGGAATAACATTCGCTCTCCTCTTTTTATCCGGACTCGCCGAGGTTTACTTTTCTCCCGAAGCAGTGCCGCACGCCCCGGGGTCGTGATAGGCAGACAGACAATCCATAAAAAATTCCTGAAATTCGCCCAGATCGATCGCGGGTCTGGCAGAGTGGCAGGCAGGCTGACACTTTTGCCTCTTAGGCCATCCGGCTGAATAATAAAGATAGTTAGCGTATGCATTAATAGCCAGAGTTATCTTGCATATCCAAAGGTTGACTCAACCATTTACCTGCGAACACGAATCCTTATGTAAATTATATCCTCATGATATCTTGTAATACAAGATCCTGCTATAATTTTGAAATATTTCATCAATACATCATATTTTATTGAATAAGAATACATTTTAAACTTAAATCATTTCATTATAAAAAGTAGTCTATTTATCTGTATTAATAATATTAACTATATGTACAGTACAGTACTATATAAAGCATATAAAATTTTTATGAAATATTTAATATAGGGATGTAAAATATTTCATCTTATAGTGAAAATTCTGTATTATATTGTACGGTTATTTGTACGGTAGAAAATATTTGTAATAGTCAAAAATTTATGGCAAATTTTTTGCATTTTAAATTAATAAAGAAAAATATATTTCGATATTTATATTTACGGTGTGTGAAATTGTATATACAGTAGATCATTATTTTGCAGTACTGTACATGAAATGCATGAAATTAAGGAAAAAATATAAATATATCACTTACGTTTTATTTTCACACATATATAACACATAATGACTGAAATGTATTTACTGTATTTCTATTTTTTTTCCTTTCTTCAAAAGGAAAATACTGAAAAAATATAAGTTATTCTTAATACAATAATTCAAGAGGAAAAGTTTAACGATATTTGAACTAAATAATAAATTGTTATTGAAAATATACCGATAATTTTTATTGACAAAGTTACTAATTTCATTTATTTGCTTTTCATTTTAAAATTATTTTAACGTGTTAAAAAGTAGGTTATCTCATTTAAAATTATTATCAAATACTGTACTTAAATATCATTAGACATTTTATTATTGTTAATGTTACAATGACCGAGCATCACCGAAATAATCAACAAAAGTAATTTTTTTTAATCAGTTGAGGTATGTTTACCGCGTAATGCCACGTCACTTGAGACGGCCTGTCAGAAATCCGCCTAAGATTTGCAATCGAACAGGAAATTACGTAATTGAAACGTAAAATATGTAGAAATTTGAAATTTTATGATGAATATTAAATTTATCCGCTTATTAAAGATTAAAAATTTATAGAAAGTATATTTAAAAAATAAATTTACGTTTTATTAACCTACTTTCGAAGAAGATGGCGAAATTTTTTTAATGTATTTAGGACAAGAGAAACTAGAATGACGAGTTCATTGTTTACTAAATTATAATGCTAGAACCGGTATGATCTTCCTTATAAATAAATGGAAAATAGACATAAAAGCGTATCAATAACCCAATGGTTGTATGTGACAAGTCTAGTAAAATTACAATACTATATGTCTTGTATTGTTTAAAAAAGAGCGCTAGTGTTACTCGTGCGTTCTATTTAAGTGCTAATGCTTTATTATTCCGATCTATTTTTCCACGGTTACTATTAAAAGGTAATTTAATGCGTATGTAACATCTAGATGTTAAATGAGAGTCATAGCGGAAGTTCATTTATCGCGGTAGAGCGTGCGCATTAGTAGTTTGTATTTCGGATCGAGAATTACAACTCGCTTATCTTATCGGTCTGTGATCATAATTCATTCGTAACATCTGTCAAAAGCAGGTAAAAGTTTATTTCAAACCTTACATACAATTTTTTTCCACTTTTACTCTCTCACGTAACCTACTAAGCTCTATTTTGTGTGAAAGCCATACATTATAAATTAATTTTAACTTCTTGTAATGAATATTCTTTAAAATTTTGAAAATTACATATAGTAAATGGATATATAACCTTCAGTATTGCATCCTTTCATGTACTAACGCATTATTTCAGTTTCAAATTGAGCCACATGTTTATAACATGTGGCTCAATTTAATCAATTACATGAATTAATATGATTTTATAATACTTAGCTATTAACATCTCTGTTTAATATTTAATAATTAAGTCATAACTCTTTTAAGATCTTAAAATGAATATTTTAAATATTTTATTTTACTTTAATTTACTTGTACTTTTTTTTTTATAAAGAATGAATGAAATTTCTTTCTTTTTCTATAAGCTAGATGTAAATGATATTCGACATTAGTGATTACATTGTCATACAAGTACAGTACATATAGTAATGATATTTACTATGTAGAATATTAAAGTAGGTGATTCATTATTAAAAGGTTTATAACTTGCATGAAAGACTTAAAATCATAATATAAAATTATGATTTAGATATTTGTATGGTTTTTGAGGAAAAATATCTATATTTGAAAAATTCAGATAATATACTTAGTATTGTCTGATAAAATGTTTTGCTTGAGAATGTCAAAACAAATTCTTGGAAATATTGTTCTAGTATTACAGAATTATATTTGCCTTTGTTATGTAATTTGAAAAATATATTTAAAAACTTTATAGAAATTTATATTTAAAAATATAATTTTTTTTTATTTTGCACAAGTAATTACTTGGAATAATGTGAGAAATTACGATTTGTTATAGATTGACTTTCAAATGAAATATTTTTACAAAATTTTGGCTTTCTTGTAGTTCATTAAAAACAATTAGTATTTTAATGGTTGTAGTTCATTATTTCTAGATTTTTATAATGTTAATCTAAATTGAAAAATGTAAGATTTGAATAAAATTTTTAGAAACTAGTTGTAATGCTATACTGTTCTTTCTCAATTATTTATCAATTTGGTTCAGTTAAATTTGTAAATAATTAAATTGGGTTGCAATTTCAAAAATTGTAGATATATAAATTCCCACTGTTGTTTGTCTGTCTTTCTTTGATCTTGAGAACAGAGTTAGATAAATGAAAGACAAGACCAGATATGGAAACCTTAGGGGCAGGAGGCCCCAATTAACTATATTTGAACTTCCGATTCAAACCAGAAATCAAGTTATTTTGATTAAAAACTTCCCCTGAAAACAGTTAATAGATGATTAGCACGACTCCATGCTAATGGAAAAGTATGATGTACAGGGGCAAGCCACTACTGATTTGAGCATATATTTTAAATTAAATAAATTAAAAATATTAATAATTGCAGCCTGGCATTCTGACAATGTCACAATAAATAATTGCTTGTTATAATTTAAATTATTATCCAGACATGAATCAAAATCAGATTAGAAGTAAGATATATATAAAAATTATATGAGTATGTGCAAATAAATTTTGATGTACTAACAATCATTCTAAGATATAAGATTTATTTTTCTGGTAATTTTTATTCTTAAATCTTTCGTATATCTTATTTTGGTAATTCTAATCAAATTTATCAGTTAATAATAACAAAAATTGAAATATAAATCCAAATTTAGTGGTTATGTAACATATTTCTAATATTTCATATGAAAATTTAATTTCTCATGTTTTAGTATAATGTTACATTATGTTATACAAGATTAATATTTTTCAATTTTAACTGATTGGCAGAACATATCTGAATAAATAAAAAACTGATGGAACACTTACAAGTTACTAAAATAGCCTCTTGAAAATTGGCAGAACACTTTTATACAATGTGATAATGTATATTGTAAACTTCCCAAAAATTACATCCAAAATCTAAAAAAGAAAAGATTCATCATAAAAGGAAAATTTTTGGTAATAAAATACAATAAAAAGTTGAATTGACTTGTAGAAAGTTGTTAAATCTGGTTTTGTTTAGCAGTTAAAAAATTTTATCTTTTTAATTTCCAAACAAAATAATCAATTTCAGACTTTCAGTGCCAGCAACAATTAGGAAAAATAAGAGATGATATACTCTAATAACTAAAATGAAATATGCTTACGAAAAAGCTAAATAAATTTTATTTGACATATTTATATTAATGGAAAAAGGCAGACTTGTTTTTACATTATAGTAAATTATATTATTGGTTGGAGTGATTAATGTATCATATGCTTTATTGTACAGCATTTTCATCTTTTGCATAACAGTGAAAGTTACAGCAAAATAAATAGGCATAATCATTTAGAAACTTAATTTTTACAACTTTATAAAAATTTTAACCGGTAGTCTTGACTATCATAATACAAAATCTATTATTAAGTTAAAATAATCTTATCTTTTTGTTAAAGATTCAAAAACTATTATTTGAAGTTTATTTTTCTTAATTTTGTTTTCTTCATACTAATATTTTGTATTTGGGTCTGAAGATAGAGTAAAGCAACTTTAAAAACCATTTAATCTAGTAAAAAAGTTTTTTGACTTAAATCAAGAGTTACTACATTTTATATATGTGGTTTCAATCAGTGTGGGTCTGTTCCAAAGGAAATTCAACAATTCCAGCTTAACAGAGCTCAGAAGTAGCAATGCTAAACTGATCCCTTCTTCCCACTTCTGCTTACTGTTAGTTATTGGGGAAAAGTGAATCTTAGTTTTCCTAGTGCAATTCTCTTATTTGGATAATTTAATTGAAAACATTTCTGTTTTAATTCTTGAGCTTTTACAGAAAACTCTATGGAAAAAAAGACAGTAACTGTGCAAGTGATACTTTGATAAATATTTTGCTTGATTTAAAAAATGTTCTACTTTTAAATTTTTTTTTCTTTTCTTTCTTTTTGTTTAGTGGTTAGTTTAAACTCTCTATAATCATTCTTTAATGTTATTTTCTGATATGTTTTGATCTTTGTGTGCAACTACACTGTACTTTGTCTAAAATCTTTAATTAATAATTCTGCAATAAACGTTTTTTAAAATTTCTTCATTTTTTCATGTTTTTGCTCTGCCAAAATGAATGTAAATGTAAAATTTACAGTTTCAGATGACTTCTTAATGACATAATTCACAAATTAATTTATTTCTCAATGATTATTAACTTTGATATATGTGATTTCAATATACATGGTGTANTTCTCTTTGTTAACTTCCATCTTTTACACCCTATAACTCACAACTGAATTGACCAATCAAAAAACTGTAAAAGAATTTTTTTTAGTACAGAATGTCACTTTTCCAATAAGCACAAGTCTGAACTTGTGTCATCAATATTTTATGAGATATGTATCACTACAGCCATCTAGTGACAAAATAATGGATTTCTTTTTCCCCAACCTAATACTTGCAGAACAAATTAATTGCATATGTTTATATTTTATGTAAGTCTCACACACAGTTTGTTTACATTGAATTTATTTTATGTAAGTATAACTTGATTAAATTCAAATGAATTTATTTATTTGATTTAATCAAGTAGAAGCCAAATATTTACAAAAAAAGGTCTTTTAGAAGATTTTATAATATATTTCATTCTTAATTTTTTTTTTTAATTTATATTTTTAACCAGGTATTCTGTATTTCATTTTATATATAATATCAATCAATCTGTCTATATTCAGTTGATATGATATCCTATCTCATCCTGTCAAATTACAGTAGAAATCTGAGTCTGAAGTTTCACTTAAAAATCAAACTGTGCAAAAATCAGCATTCAAAAATATTTTTATATATTTTCAATGATATAAATTTTTATGGAATTTTGTACTTTCTTTACTACAATAATAGGAAAATATTTATCCATCAGTTTTGATGGTAAATAAATTGTAAACAATAAGAAAGTGCAACTGTCAGTAGGTTAATTTAATAAGAATAGGCTATTATTATTAAATTTAACTATTTACAGAGCTTCAATGATACCCCACTGTATACTACATCAATCCTCTTTCTGATAGAGAGTACTAGTCATTGTATATGGTCAAATCTATTTTCTTTAGACAGTAACATATCCTGGTCAGCTACTTGATGCTTTTAGCTCTTCAGCCTTTTTCATAAACTGGAAGCTTGAGACAAACCCAAAAATCTTCAATGAGCCACACCTCAGGAATGCTGGCAGGATTGTCTTCTTTGACTACATAGTTGATGTTTTCTGCCTCCACAGCTTCAATAACAACCTTTGCCTAATGACATTTACCTGGTTTGGCAAAGATATATATCCCTGCTAGAGGTTGGATTTGATGTAGGGAATTAACACAGTGAGGTCAAACACAATGATTTAAATATATTTGAGCATTGATGATAAAGCCATATTTCCAAATTATAGCATTGCTAATTTCCTTTTGGCTAACAGTGATTCAAATGAGAACTTTGGATTCAAATTTTCTTTTTCAAGTAAATTTTCCTTGGCAGTGATTGACCTAGCATCATTTGAGAAAAATCCACATTTTCTCTTATCATTGGACATGACAAAATAAAATATGATTCATTGTCCAAGGTGAAAGAATGGTTAGTGAATTTTCTGGCATGGTGTCTTTATTTAGTTTTTGTTAACTTAATCAACTTGTGGTCCTTTTATTACTTTTCTGGATGTTATATATAACAGAGAGAAAGTATGGCGATTGGTCAAAAAATGATCCTCCCCAATATTTTTACATTTTTGGACTTAGGACACCTTGAAACATAAGAAATGCCGAAGAATTCAGTTTAATTTCTGTATATATGGATGTGTGTGTGTGTGTGTATGGGCATGATTTTGTTCAGCCTGTTTGAAGCTTAATTAATAACTTCAGTGCTTTTTGTTGAAAATTTCTGAAATTTTGTAGGGCGGTTTGTTTATTAGGGGGATTGATGCTATTAAATTTTGGTGGTTAAAGGTCAAGGGGATGGGGGAGATAA